AGTGGGACTCATCGTTCCTTGCAAGAGAAGACCACAGCACTAGCATTGATAGCTGCAGTGCAAATAAGTTCTGGGCTGCTCCAGCAGGAGTGATGCTGCTCCTTTTCATGCCCTCCGATCTGCCTGTTCCTGACCTTGTGTGCGATTTGTCTTGAGACAGCTGACTTAGCTCATCTCTTCCCCTACCAGTATGGGATAGCATCCTAGTAACAAAGCATTACGCCTCCTAGTGCTCAGGTGATTTCCAGTTACATGTCTCTTGTGACTTGTGAGATTCTTCCACACACCGATCTCTTTCCTAGGGCAACTCTTGTGATGTCGAGCATAAATGTCTTGTTTTTCAAATTCTTCTAGTCAAAGCTCTTTATAAAGTTAAATCAGTAATTTCTTCCTTTAGTATTTGCACCTTTGAAATTCTTGTTCAACTGTCCGGTTTCCCCACTGAGCTGTTTCTCAGGGGAGCTGTGCGAATTTTTAGCTGTTTTGATCTTTTCTTCCAAAGCTGATCTCCTCAAGCCTTTAGAGGGGGAGGCAGAATGAAGAGCAGCATAGCAAATGCCACAAAAGCATAAATAGTGGTGGTTATGCTTTCTCCAGTGCATCTAGGCTGAAATCATACTGGCTTCCAATAATTTGCTTGGACCTCTCTGCATTAATACTTCTGACTAATTTTACATCTTCCCTAACAACCCCCTCCTTGAATTGTATTAATTTCTTTCACAAAAATAGGGCTGATGTTATTTTACTGCCCTGGTTCTGATCACTTGCCTCATCTGTGTCCTGACTTCTGTTCAACTTCTCCCAAATTAGCCTTGTCTGTGAATTTCATTACAGTGCTGTTTACTTCCTCTTCCAGCTCTTATGAAAGATGAAAACAGCTTTAAACCTTTGATCTTTATGCATCAGCCAACAGTCAGTTTGAAAATTGTTTTCTTCTTACCTTACATGTGTCCTATATTTAATGCAGTCTTTAAGCCAAGTAAGTTGGCAATGAAGGAATAGTATTTTCTTCATTCCTGCCTTGGAAGGTAAGACTGCCATTTTTTCCCTCTTCCAAAGATGAGGATCTGCCTGTGAAGCCCAAGAAGGAGTGGATTCACATGGATGATGTGGAGTTTGAGAAACTGGAATGGATGAAGGATTTGCCCTCAGTCCGGCAGAAGAAAACCAAAAAGGTTTGAATTCAGAAGCTGGTATTTTTTATGTTTGTGTCTGGATCTTGATTCTCAGCAGTTACAGTTTTGAAGGCTTCAGAAACTAGCCCTCTGGTTACTCAATATGTAAGATTTCATCAGGTGGAGAAATTCCCGATTTCTTCTACGGAGTGGGATGATATGTGGTCAATTCAGTCTGTAGTGCTCAAGAGAGCTTGGAAGCGAGAGTCTAGCAACTCTAATCTGGGATGAAACAGGTCTGAAAGCTAAGGAAAAAAAAGAGGAGAGTGCTTTTTTTTCTTAAAAATAATTAGAGGCCTCACCTGGGGAGTTCTTGAATGGTCACCTTCCAGCAGTTGATGTAAGAAGTAGTATTTTAAGTGATGAACGCAGTGGGAGGCAATAGAAATAATATTTTTCTCCCTCCACCCTTTTATTGTAGGGAATGCAAGCTCGATTCAGTTTAAAAGGAGAATTGATTCCTGCAGATGCTGATTTACCAACACATCTAGGCCTGCATCACCATGGAGAAGAGGCAGAGGTAGGTGTAATGTGGTAGAAAGGGCACACCCATTTCCATTTTCTGTTTGATTTGGCAGATTCCGTTTGCACTGGGACTTTTTAGTGACAAAAACCCTAAGAAAGTGTGGGCCGGTGACTTTCTTTTGGAACAAGCTCCTGAAGAGAAGTTGGGTCTGCGTGCATCAGCTGCCTTACTTTCAGAAAACTCCATTAATGCTTTTTCTCAGTAATGCCATTAAGGATCTGTGGTATAGGAAAAAGGTGCACATACATCCTTTTCTTAGGAAGTTCACCGCTCGCGTCAATGATTGGAATCTCTTTTGCAATATTCCCGCACAGCAGCAAACAACATTGCACTGCAGTATATCTCCTGTTATGCAGTATTTTACAGCTAATCTTATTTTAAGGTGCCTGGTTTTGCCTATAGCTTTTTTTTTTGTCCCTATTTAGAGGGCTGGTTATTCCCTCCAAGAGCTCTTTCATTTGTCTCACAGCCAAGTTATTCAGCAGAGGACACTGGCTCTACAGGTCTTGGGCCGTATTGTTCAAAAGGTAAGTCACTTCCCATGGAATTTCTCCCTGTAATTTAAGTTCCTGGTGCATCAGGGCCCATATTCTTTGGTACTAGTTGTTTGCTTTCTACTGTTCAGTGAAGGTGAGCAAAATCATCAGGGCATTCTTTTTAACTGAGGATGCTCTTAACTGTTAGAGAAGTTAAGTGGTGGGACATAACAGACTGAGTTTCAGGTTTCTCTGGAGGGAGATGCTTCCAAGTGTTCAGCAGCAGTGCTGCAACTTCAGTTCTGTTGTTGCTTTGGACACAAACTATTTTTTTGGTGTTACTTTTGTGACAAACCTATCCTTGGCAATGACCCTTTCACTCCTGTTGTCTGAGCCAGCTTCATGATGTGCTTTTTCTGTAGGAGGTGAGAATGAACCGGCCTACTCATAGATTGATGTGCCAGTAGCATAAAGTAAAACGAGTATTTACTTCTGTGCACATTTCCACCTAGCTCTTGGGAGAAGTCCTTACCTCACTTCCAACAGCAGTGGAGGCAGAGAAGAAGAAACAGTGCGATTTTGAGAATGATGGGGCAGAACAGGGTGAAGTCGTAAGATGGGTCCAGACTTGAGAAAGAAAGGGTTCCTGTATTGAAGAACTGGAGTTGTGTGCCTCTGTAGAATGAAAGAAGGAGAAAGTAAAGGATAAAAACCCCAAACAAAGCCTGCACAGAGTTTAGCTCCTTTGCAGTAGAAATGGGAAGAGGTGAACATGCAGAATGTTGAGATGAGACAGCTTTAACACTGGCTCTGTGTGGCATACATTTCAGGCCAGGGCTGGAGAGTTTGCCTCCTCCTTGAAGGGCAGCATTTTACGTCTGATGCTGGATGCTGGGTTTCTCTTCTTGCTGCGGTTCTCACTGGATGATGCAGTGGAAAATGTCATGGCAGCATCTGTTGGTGCTCTCCAGGCTCTGCTGGTGTCACTCGATGATGAGGTGAGACAGTCATTAAGTGCCTGGGTTTGATTTCATGCTGAGCTGTTTACAGGAATCAGGATGAGAAGATATGGTAAGTAGCTTGAACAAAGGCTTGCTGGATGGGTTAGCTTAATGGGCAGTAGAATGCCATTGCTGTGCTTTGGGGCAGACAAGGGGGAGTGTGTTCCCAGTTTGAGTGATTCAGACATATTTTGTCCTGTTTGAAATAGCTCCGCTCCATGATTAAATTCAGTGCAGGCTGCCAAGGTTCTTTTCCTTTTGACGTCTTTACAATCTAGATCGGGCCACTATTAATGTATGTGTACAATTTAGTTGTTTTTTTTAAATATACCCTTTTGTGTTGCTCGTTTCTCGCTTTGTAGTTTTCCTGCTTCTAAACAGATTAAATATTCTTCCTGCTTTCCCTTATGCCTCATAATGATGCTGTTTTCTTTTTCTCATTGTCAATTTTCTGCTTTTCTCATGTGCTTTTCTTAGACTGATAAATTCCTAATTTTGCTTTCTCGTGTCTATTTTCACCTTGATGTTCTTTCTTCTGTTAGAAGGCTGAAAATTATTTTGTGTTCTGACTAGAGAGGCCTGAGCAGTAAGATTAAGATGTCTTCCTGGTTGGACAAAAACAGTCCATTATAGGTAAAGCATGCTATGGGCTGTATTTCAACCTTTCCATGAGAGCTGTGTCAGACTGCAAAGGGGCTGGTGATAGGGAAGAGTGAGTGAGTAGATCTCAAGAAGCCACCTGCAAATTCTCCCAAGCCTTTAGAACTATTGCCTAGTGGGGAGGCAGGAGAAATGAAGGACTGTGTAGCTTTCTCCACATCTTGCTCCTTTTTGAAGCTAAGAGCCTGATGGTGTTCTGCTAGATGAGTCTTGCCCACCCATGGTAGGTAATTAATGCTATGAGTCAGCTTCTTAATGTGCCTTTCTTTCTTCTGGTATTACTTTGGTTTGTAAGTGCCTGCAGCACTCTGACTCTCAGATCAAAGCTTGTGAGATGATGTCTTGTGTAAGTGGGGATTGCTGACTCTCTCGATGGCAATAGCAGCACTGAGAGCTGTATCATTGTATATTTTTCTCATTTGGAGAGTCCATCCTAGAGTCTCGTGCTGCAGAGTTTGAAAGGGTCTCTGAGGATGGGACAGGGCCGGAAATCCGGCCTTTTGCTCCAGGATTTGTGAGACAAACAGGATTTCTCCCCACTATAAACACAGAAGATAAACACAGTGAAAACCATGCTGTCTGAAGGTTTTGTTCATTCATCAATGGGTATGGGAAGGAAGCTCCTCTCTTTGTTTCCTCCAAAGACCCAGATACTCTTGTCTTGTGCTTTTCCATCTCTTGGTGGAAAGAAGGCAGGAGTCCCAAACTCTGTGTTCCTGTTGGGCTCATAGCTTCATCCCCTACAATCAGTGCTCTTCTGACCATGTCATTCATTCACCAACTTTGTTTAATGTTGCTTTTTTCTTTTAATGTCTGATAATAACTTGCACTTTCTTGGCACTTCCATTTGAAATTCTTCAAAAGAGCTCAGGGTTTCGTTGAAGTCTACCACTTCTTTTCTGAATAATGTGGTACTTATTTCTGATTGCCAGTTCAGGAAATGGAAATATAAAGCAGTTATTATATAGTGCAAGCATTCAGTCTGACTGTCTTTTATATTCTAAAACACTTTATGGGAAGTGGGTCTGCTATGGGAACAATCCCCCCTCTGAAGAGTTGAAAGCTGACTTACAGCAGAACTTCAGTATCCGACACTGTCATTCGCTGTGAACAAAAAAGGGGCTTTTTTTATTTGCTGAAGCTGAGGGGTGTTCAAACAAAAGCCAAACAATCATGAATAGTACATCAGGCATTTTAGCATACCAATTTTTACATGATCATTCCGTATTATTGTGACCCAAGTTCCATACAGGTCTAGAAATGCGAATAGAGCCAATAAATGCCAAATTCCCGTTTAACTTCTAGAGTCTTGATCATGTATGTATTTATTTTTATCTGAAATGTTTTTCTGTTAAGCTGCATTTCTGTTACCTTTGTGGTGAATTTAATTAACCTCACGGTAATTGCTTTTCATCATTTCCCAAGAGTGTGTGGGTCATAGGTTAAATTCACTTTCCTGGAAAAGCATTGCATTCTACTTGTACATGTTTAGAACACCCTTTATTGTGCTCCTGTTTTCCTGGGGTTAGGTGGGAATCAATAAAGCATTCCATAATCAAAAGCATCCTTGAAAATTTTTTGTCTTTCATGATTTCTCTCTGAGAATTGTATTTTGTGCTTTTACTCTTCTTTTAGAAATATCTTGATTGGACTTTCTCATGGTACCAAGGGATGGCTGCATTCCCCTTTCTCCCCAACAGTGAGGAGGAAGAAGATGAGGAAGAGGAAGAATTAAATGAAATGGAGAAGTCTCAAGATAAAAAATTAAAGGATGAAAACAAGCCAGATCCAGATGTGGCCCGATATGATGTTGTAAAGGTAAGCACAGAGCTAGACCTGAAGTCTTTCTAGGAAAACAGGCTCTGCACAGTGGCTATGTGTGGTGTTGAAATGTCTGTCCTCCTGTGTATACTATTAATTAGCATATTATTTAGGGTGCATTAAGAGTGTGAGGTTATCCTCCCACTCTGCTTTGCCCTGGTGAGGCCACATCTGGAGTGCTGGGTCCAGTCCTGGGCTCCCCAGTTCAACCAGGACAAGGAACCACTGGAGAGAGTCCGGTGTAGAGCCACTAAGATGATGAGGGGACTGGAGCATCTCCCGTATGAGGAAAGGCTGAGAGAGCTGGGGCTGTTTAGCCTGGAGAAGAGGAGACTGAGGGGGGATCTCATTAATGCTTACAAATATCTAAAGGGTGGGTGTCAGGAGGATGGGACCAGACTCTTCTTTGTTGTGTACAGTGACAGGACAAGGGGCAGTGGTCACAAATGAGTACACAGGAGGTTCAACTTAAACATAAGGAAAAACTTCTTTAGTGTGAGGGTGACAGAGCCCTGGCCCAGGCTGCCCAGAGAGGTTGTGGAGTCTCCTTCTCTGGAGACATTCAAAACCCGCCTGGATGCGTTCCTGTGTGATCTTTTCCAGGTGGTACTGCTGTAGCAGGGGGGGTTGGACTTCAGAGGTCCCTTCCAACCCCTACCGTACTGTATTTCCGTGATTAAGAACATTCTTAACAAGAACTGGAACTCTTCCTCAGCTGTTGGGTGTTATATTTCTGTCATACATTACCAGGGGGGTGTTTTATTGATTTCTAAAAGTGTTGAGACTCGACCTGTGTGATTTCAGTATCATTAAGTATCTCTAACTTCCTCTAGGAAAACTGGCAACAAGCACACTGATGACCTTGTAAGACTTAATAAAAGATTGCATACAGACATGATTTTCAAGCTCACTTACTCCCACATTCCTGGTAGGAGATCTAAAAATAGCAGTCTTTGTTATCACAAACTGAACTTTGGTGGAGCCGATGCAACAATCTTGCCTGCTTTGATCATTAAAACCTGTGATTACATCACTTAGCATATGTGCTTGAGCCTGTGTTCCGATGGCACTTGGTTAAAAACTTCACTCGGAAAATGAATTACTGTTTCTGGGCTCATTTAGAGGAGTCTTGATTTCAGATGTATTCTACTAGGTGACACTAGTTAAAAAGCTTAACAAAAGCATTGCAGACAGAAGAAATGAGATCAGTCCATGACTCCGGAAACAGTTGCATGGTTTAGCATAATGGGTTTTAATGTGGAACAAGTAGCCCAAACTTGGAAGTTATTTGGGATAAAAATCCACTGTTACAGTTGTTATGAAATTCCATTTCTCACCTGCTCGTTGGCTTTTAAAACCCAATTACTCCACACAGTTGGAAAATGAGTATCTAAACTAGCAGCTGAACTCGGTTAGGCCTAGGACTACAACTTTGCTTGGCTGTAACTGTTAAAAAAATATCAGTCCTCCAAACTCAGGTGTTGAGGGGTTGCCTTTTCCCAGAATTAGGAATGCGTAATGCTGTACCTTAAACTAAAAAACTGTTTCCTAGCATCACCACTGAATTATGGTCTTCTGCTCTGTGAACCATAAAATAAAGATCACATAATCTCTCTGCATCTCTCTTTTCCTACTGCGAAATAGGATTAGTGTCTGTTCTCTGCTTCTGTCAGCATTCTCTGCCATAACAGGTGCTGTGAGACAGAGTGCTGCATTAGGCGGAGGTGTTGTCCAGCCAAAATGTTTCAAGGAGCATGAGAACCCTTTTCAGCCATGATAGGTTTTAGTAGTCCTTTAAAGGGAGGGTTGTTTTCCTGATATTTACTGTTTCATACTCTGGAAAACACAAGTATCCAAACCCCACCAGTGGTTTGACTCAGAACAGAAGTTCAGCTTCTCTCTTGAGCTGACTCTTGCTCATTTGCTAGCGTAGTGGCAAATCCACAGAAACTTACCCCTGTGTTTTTCCCACTGGTAATTTTAAAACCACCTCTCTGCAGAAGATGTAGTTGAATTTGCTTCTGTCTTTCAGCAACTGCAGTTCAGAGAGCAATCGTTAAGAGCACGGTGGAATTTTTATATTCTTTTTCCTTTCAGGGGCTTTTGAAGACACGTATCCAGCACCGGCTGAGGTACATCCTGGAGGTGGTACGGCCTGTTCCAACAGTAGTCCTGGATATCCTGCACATCCTCACTCATATAGCAAGGCACTCCTCTGAAGCATGCAGCCAGGTAAGTCTCCCATTGCACAAGAGCTCTAGAATGGTAGAAAAAGGTTTAAAAGGGAAGAAAGAAGCAGATGAAGTTACAGCAAGGAGATTAGACAAATTTGTGTCTTCTGCATGGTATAATTGCATACTTTTTAGTTATTTGTGCTGCCTGCTATCTCCCTGCAGCTGCTTGACTGTCCTCGATTGATTGAGACCATTGTCAGGGAATTTCTCCCTACTCAGTGGGATCCCCAGGTGGCTGAACCAGGGCATTTACTCACCAGCCTCCATGGAGTTCCTTGTGCCGCTGCTATGAAGTTCATCAGAGTGTTGGCATCTGGAGGCCGAAATGCCACAGCCAGGCTGGTAAGTGACTCTTGGAGGAGCTTTTCTGAGTGCAAAGACCTTTGTTTTTTATGGCTTACCTTCTAAGTAAAGGCAGAGGCTTGTCTGGAGATAACTCTGAGCTAAAGCTGAGATAATCATTGTGAAGAAGGCGCATATGTATGTTTTGAAGGAATTGTTGACAGTGTCATAATAATGATACCTTCTGCTGTGTACCACTAGAAAAGCTGTCTCAAGCTTTTCTCTCTTTTTTTGTTTGTTTGTTTTATGGAGTGTCGTTATGCAAAATCACATAGCACAAAGCAGTGATACCAACCAACAGCAGATGTTTAGAGCACGCATTAGTCTGTGATGCTCTGTACTCTCCTGTGTTCCAGTGACAGGCAGCTTAGGACTGAATAAACCAGAGATTTAATTACTATTTTTGTGTTTTACAACCCTGCTTGAACTTTCCTGCCATTCATTTATCTTAATAACTCTGAGGTCGTTTATCAGTATTTCCAACGCCTCTTACCTACTTCTGGACAGGTTTTCTACTTCAGAGATAATTGCATTCACTCATATAGGTCATCGTGCTGGTGCTATAAATGCATAACATCTACCCAGAGCAGCAGCCTTTACAGTGCAGTGAGCACCTCTTAGGGGTTTTGGTTCAGTATTGTTAATGGCTTCTAATAAATTGCCATCCAGGGAATTGCTAACATCAGCGGAACACCATCAGCCTATGCTATAAAATACATAGAATAATGTACTTATAATGGATAGTGAGATATTTAAAGGCTGTTAAGTGGTGCTAGGGACATAATAGAAAATCTCTGAATTTTACTCTGTTTCAGGCTTTTTGTACTCCAGGTGTTTAAAGGCATGCAAAAATAGCTTACAAGGTTCCTGCCACTCAAAATTTGATTCTGTTGCACTCTCATACGGCTTGTTACAGGCACTTAGAACATGGGGATGGTAGATCATGAAAAACGAAATCAGAATCGTCAATGTAGGAATTTATTTTAGCTAATAACAAAATTTTTCCATCTTCCTCCTCAGGAAGTAAATTTGACTTTGCCCACTGCTCTGTAGGAGGGGTGTGAGAATTCACAGTTTGATTCATCATCTCCTTTGCTTTCTTGTTGGTGTGCATTGATTTCCCTGCAAGATGTCTCTAAAGCATTTGAATTTAAAATTATCTATAATATGTCCTCGTGTTGTGAAAAAGACATTGTTATCTCATTTGTTTAGACAGAGCACACACAAGCTCTTGTATGTGTGGGAGAAGGGAAGAGAAGCTCTTTTTTATGGTTAAGCAAAAATAACCAGTTGTTGGGGAGGATAAAAATTATTTCTGGAGAACTGCAAATGAGTCATGTCATGGTTAATTCACTACTAAAATAACCTCAGAACATTTCCAAGGCATCGAAATTCTAAAATATTGTAAAAGTAATAGGCAGGAGATACCCTTTTTATAAAATAAACACAGAATCACAGAAAGATTTGGGCTGTAGAACATCTGAAGGCTGTTTTAAGTGTGACCTCCCCAAAAGAATATCAGCATCAGTTCAGTATCTTTGTCTGCGGTGTTTTTTGTAAGGTAGATCTTCACATGTAGTTTTCACTAGTAGAGTTCTGTTTATGACTACTTAAAGAAGGGTAATTATGTATTTTTAAAAAATCAGTTAAATGCTGCAGAGAGCATCCAAAACAAGAGTGCAGGGAGGCTAGACAAGCCTCAATCAGGAATTACTTAGGTGTAGTTGATTTGTACTAGGAATGGATTAGGTAAAACCTAGGCTTCCAGGAATACTTCCCTTAGTAGCCATTGACCATTTATTGATCCAATGTAGTATGCTCCTTAAGATTATACAAATAAAGACTGATTTGAACAGTGCACGAGGAGCTGAAGTGAAATCTGCAGCTCTTTTGGTGTGTCAGACTAATGAGGTAATGATGCATACAACTGTTGACTCCTACCCCTTTGTCTTTTTTGTTGATCATTCTTTTATTTTTTATTTGTTTTACAGCTTAACAGATTTGAAATGAAGAGTCGGTTAAGTCGATTTATAGCTGAAGACCCACTGGATCTCCTTCTGCCAAGGGAAGAAGCCATCAGGCTAAGCACCGAAGCCTTCCGGTTGTGGGCAGTGGCAGCTGGCTATGGTCAGGCCTGTGATCTCTACAGGTACAGTCCAAAGCAGAAGAAATAGGGGTGGAGGGCACAACAGCAAAAATGGACATCCTGTTCCAGAGGGGCAAATACAGGGATCTCCAGGCTCGTTCTCTGCTCCTTTTATGAGTCTTATCTCCTTTTCTCTGGCCCCCTGCAGTAAAACTGAGTTTCTAAAGGTATTTGTTTTGAGTATTGTCTTTTTTCTGATTGTTCTTTATCTCCTGTGTTTAAGGACTGGTATTTTGTTGTTCCCCCTCTACTATGGGAGATCACCTTAACTTTTCAGGGATGCGTCTTTTTCCCCTTGAAGGCATGAATAATCTGTGCTTGTGTGGCATCAAGGCACACAGTTTGCTGCACACCTAGGCCTGAATTTGATGACCTAAAGGCAGTCTGTGGGCAGCATGTATGCTGAGAGAGGCAGACTGCAGACAAACTCTGCACGCTGTGTCAACTTTCAGTTCAGTACAAGTTCTTGTGCTTGACTGTCAAGGTCTGCACTGGGATGAGTCTGACCTACCTCAGGAATTGGATCTTCCTGTAACTGCACTGACTTGGAAGCACAGAGGTGTCTGTGGAGTTGCTCTGAAGAGAAGTAAAAGGGAGGCCAGTATTGAGTTTGAGGAGGGAGATTGTCTCAATGCAACAGCACTTTGTGTTCTCCAGCCCAATCAGGTGTTTTGGTTAAGATCAAAAACTGTTAATAATTTTTTTTTTTACCACTGTAAATAATGTTGAGGAAAGGGAAACAGCAGAAGGTCCCTTAAGTTTGCATGATTAAAACTGTGGATACTTTGGCTGAGAATTTGAGAACTAGAGAAACGAGAATGAAATAAATGTAATTTTTCCAAGAGATAATAGGAATGCTTGAAGGCAGAGTATTAGGTAGGTCCCATTCAGATGGATTCGGAGTGATAATATTCTTACTTTGTAATCTTTTTTATTACGTCTGTTTATCTTTTTGTTATTTTGGTGGTGGTGATGGTTGTCGTAATCTCATTTTAGCAATCTTTGTAAGTACATGATGGGAGGGTGTAAACAAGACAGAGCCAAGTTCTTACAGTGGTATGAAGTGAACGTACAACAAGCAGTGGGTACAAATGTAAATACAGGAAATTTCACTTAAGTGTAAGAAAAAAATTTACTGTGAAGGTGAGCAGACACTGGAGAAGGTTGCTTAGCGAGATGATGAACTTTTCATCCTTGAAGATATTTGAAATCCAACTGGACGTGTTCCTGGGCAAATGTACTCTAGCTGACTTGGCTTGATCAGGGAGTTGAACTAGAGATTATCTCCAGAGACCCCTTCCAACCTCATCTCTTCTGTGATTCATACTATAGGGATCTCTACCCTGTGCTGGTGAGGATACTGCAGTCCCTGCCTGAACTGCTCAGCACTTGTCGTGGGAAGAGCCCTATGATTGAGTTATCTGTCCAGCGAGCGACAGCAGTAGTTACTCTGCTGATAAATGTGACGCAAACAGCAGGCTACACGGCAGAGCTGCAGGCTAAGCAGAGCAGGTAGGCCCTCTCTGTCACCAGTTCTGTGTGTCTGAGTAGTTGCCATCCTGTCTTCCCTTTCTTTTGTTTGGACACCTGTCTATCACCATTTCACCCCCCCCTCTTTCATTTTTGGGTGGTTTACTGTCCCACAGGTGAATCCCTGCTTGGTGGGATGTATTCCCTCTAACACAAGATCAGAAGGGTGTGTAGTCTGACAGCTATATATCTGCTAGCCTGGTCAGAGGCAGGAGTAAAAATCTACATTCAGCTATGAGGCAGAACTGCAGTGTCAGCCAAATGCCCTGCTGAAAGGAGCTAGGAAGTTCCTTTGACCATCCCTCTGGGGAAAAGAAAGTAACCTCCCTGAGGCTTGGAGGAAACCAAACCTCTCTCTGCAGAGACCAAGATGGTCAGGATTAAGAGGTGGTTGGTTTTGACAGACATCAAAACAGTAGGATTTGCTGAAGACACAGGTACTTCTTCGAGTGAAGATCAAGTAACTCTAACTGAAGCTGGATACTGAGGTAGTGTGTCTGGTGAAACTAGAGTATAGCTCAAGGACAGAGTAGTTCAGGTGAAGAAACTTCAGCTTTCATGAGTATATTCTGCATTCATCCTTTCAGCCTAAATTGATTTGACCTGATCTGTGAGAATGTGCTGAGACTTTTTTTTTTCCTGCTCTAGTGGCTGTTGTTGTGTATCACCTTCCAGACTACATACAATTGGAAATCTTGCTGTTTAAAAATGATGGTCTAGAAAGGTAATTGTTTTTGCTGTCCTCTGTCATTCTTCCATTGTGTTTCAGTAATAGCTCAGAAGATAGTGGACAGATTCCACCTCCTCCAGTAGCATGGAATCAAGTGTCAGGCTTACAACCCTTCCTTGAGGCCAGTCTGAAAAAATTCCTCCAGGAGATATCCCAGACAGAAACTTGGCAAACTCTCCAGCCTCTGACCACAACTTACCTGATCTACCTGGGAGTTTATTACAGTGCTTGCAGCCAACAGGTAAGGCCTGAAAATAGAGCGTGTATTTTCATCTCACCAGCATCAGCTTGTGTAATACCTCTGAAAACCTGAACTTCTGGGCAGTGCTGAAAAAGACAGCTGTTGAGGCATCTAGCTGAGGACTAGCTTTTCTTTACTGTAACTCATATTGAGGCTGCATGGCATTTAGGGTCAGACAAGTCTGCTGATCCTTCTCATTAGCTGTGCCAAGTATCACTGTCTTCCTTTCTTCCTTTGGACTCAGACTCTCAGTTGAGGTACGTGGTAGTGCTGTGACTGTTTTGATTTATTGCAGAGATCCAAAGAATATGACCTAATTTAGTTTGGCAGTCCTTTCTTTTGGTAGACTAAATCAAGTTGCACATTTTTGCTTTTGCTGTGGTCTGAGAGCTTACATGTGGACAGCTGCACTGCAGTCATCTGGTTGGAAGATTGACCATTGAGGGTCATCCCATATGAATTTTGAAGAGGAAACAAATTTATTTGGCATGCCACTGACATTCAGGGTCAAATTCTGTAGCCCAGTTACAGTTGTAGTATGTGACCATCCTTTAAAGTGAGTTTTCTGAAGGTGACACATCAATGTCATGCTGTTGAAGAATAATATCTTATACTTTAGCTACCTGAAAGATTCACGTTCTAAAGATAAATGCAGGTTTTGTCTTTACTGCCCAGCTATGTGCCTGAGTTCTGACTTGAGAGAGCTGTCTTCAGAATGTGGAGGTAATTTAATGGTTGTAGTTATTCACACTTCTGCAACTCTTTTGAAACTTGCCCAGAGCAACTGAGTTTTAGTTATGGTTGGGGAGGAAATGGCCAGTGTCTTCAGTGCCCCAGAGGTTGGTAGTACCCTTCACGTGCTCTCATTAGGTCCTGAGCATTAAAGGAGCAGGATAGCTAAGAGGTTAATACTCCTTTTCAACTTTTATAGATATCCTAGAAGAGTGGCTGACAAAATAATTTTTTAAGTCCTTGAACTGTGACAAAAGATTTTTTTTTATTTCCACTTAAAGGAAATTCGACTGGCTCAACACAGGTAGATGATCCGATTAAACAAGTTGCATGTAACATGTTTGATTGGACTAGTGCAAAAAAAAAATCAGCTTGTATAGTAAGTAGACTAGTGTATACTGGGACTTCCTTGAAATATTTTTATGAGATGACTAAGAACTAAAGTTAACACCTTCATGTAGGTTTTACTGATTTCTGGAGAGAGATTTCACCTGAGGGGAAATTAGATTTTATGTTATAGAAATGAGTATTTCTATGTCCTAAAGCAGCATTCCAATGAAGAGAAAGAACATGAAAATTTGCCAGCATGTTCTTTCAACCTGGAATATTGCTTACTAAGGTTGGAAGAATTCAGACGGTTCTCTAAAGGCCACAGGTTCTCTGTGCAGTGTTCACCCACGGTTTTGCGTAGGTCACTCACACTTTATACAGTTGACTTCTTATGTATTTTTTTTTAGACCCTCATTGTGCCATTTGCTTTCTCAAGGTAGTTCTGGTCACTTTTATGTCATCTTTCAAGATAAATGGAAAGATCAGCATGGGGAGGGGGTGAGTTACTCACTTAGGGCAAGTTTTTATTCAGGGACCTTACTTCGCAGCCAATCAAGAAATCTCTGTGATGCATTTTAATACTTGGGTGCGAGAACACCTTGAGCAGTAAGGCCAGCTCTAGCCTAGAGCAGTACCACTATGTAGGTGGTGTGATCTGGCAGAAAGATAAGAAACAGAGAAAGCAATTCAACCTTACTTTTCGACCTTACTGGAATGCCTTTGTTCACTATCTTTTCTTCTCTTTCTCCGTGTCCTCTGCAGCCGTCAGTCAATCCAGTTGACTGCTTAGAGGAACTGGAACGTTTGACATCTGAGGTGCTGCAGCCTCTTCTCAGCCAGCCAGCCATGCACAGCATGTGGGACTTGCTCAGGTAAAATTATTTCACTGCTAAGATGCTGTTGCCAGAAGCTAAGGGAGCCTCATTTCTGTACTGTACTGTGTGGCAGTTTTCCCCCCTCCCATTTCATTTTCCTGTACATATGTGGCACTCCCCTCACAGCAAATGGCATGATTGCCACAGAGGTTCTCCAGTTCCTCTGTTCCTACTGGTGCTGCTGCAGGGTCTGCATCTCTGTCCTTACATGTATCTGTGTTTTTTCATACCCATTTCAGATTGATTTTAATCACTCTTGGCTTTGATTTTTCTTTGGTTTCATAAGTTTAAAAAAACCCCATCAATTTGAGTTCCTCTTACATCAAGGAAGTGTGCATGTACCATTCACCTGCTCTGTGTGATGCTGCTTATATAAAATAATTTAAACTAGACTTTTGTCTTTAAGCCCCTGCAAAGCTTTACTTAAGGCCTTGAAAGTCCCTTCAGGAAAGTGAAAGACAAGATACCAAACTGTTCTTTCAGACATTTGGATAACATGAGCTTTGTCTCTGGCTCTGGAAACTGTTCAGCACTGCAGATATTCTGTGTTTCTGCTGTAGAGGGAGCCTTCCTACTAGCCTGTGATCTGTCCTCTAGAGAAGGGGAGCCTGAAAAGCTTAAGTTGTAACCAGGGAGACATCCTGCTGCTTCTGGGAACATCTGATACAAGAGCCCTTGAAATCTTTGGTTTTAAGTGGTATTTGAATGGTCACCAAACAGTCTGGCCCATGTTCTTTCATGACTGAGTACTGAGGTCTGGAGCTCTTAGCACCGAAGCTTCCAACACAAGGGCACTCATTTAATCCTTTCGTGCCTGTCCTTGAGGTCTGAAAACAATGGATTTGGTCTGGCTGTAAAAAGCCCATCAGCAAGAATTCTCCTAGGCTGTTCTTAACCATTAGCTAGTTAAAATGAAGAGTCATCTCATCTCTGCCTTAATATTTTGACAATCTTGTGTTCTGGGCAGATTAGGGCCAGGAGTTCAGGGTACTCTGTGAGCCTCAGATGTGTTTACAAATCTCCTGTGCCAGTGAAAGAAAGAACAATGCCTAGAGTAATAATATGGATCTTTGACAGGATTTGCCCTATTGCCCCATTACCATTGAGCAATGTGCTTGTGGCCACTCTTCCTTGTAGTGCTTTTGCCTGTACAGAAATGGTATCTCTAGTGTGGGCCCCATAAGCACTAATGGTATGAAAATTTTGAGTTTTGCCTGTGAAGAGTGAGCACACACTCCAGTGATATGCATGGTCATGTTCGCATACATTAAAGCTAGGTTCTTTCTGAATAGACTTTAAAAATATGTATTTCATGAGTACATAAGGTGGAGCATTTTTACAGTGTCAGTTTTAGATATAAGATGGCTTTTTGGCTTTGCCTGCCGGTCTATTATTGAAATGTCTGGAGTGGGTGACCATCTTTATCAGCCTGGTTTATGTATGTGCATGGGAAATGTGTATCTTTTTTTTTTTTTTAATCAAAGCCTCAGTGCTCTCAGATGTTTCACATCAGAGATGCAGCACTGCAAGTATTTCTACACATCATGAACAATTTAACTGAAGGTGAGATTTCATGAGAGTTCACTGACATTGGCTTGTGTGGCAATAGTGCTATTATATGAATACATATATGAATCAATATGTGAACAGCTGTGATTCTAGGTTTCTTTCTTGCAGTCTTTGGGGCTTTCATTTTACTGCAATGTGTGGTACAGTTCAGACAGTAGCCTTCCTACAAGATAATTCAGCAGTATGAGTGCTTTTGACCTGACTCCTCTCTCTTTATCTGTTCGCACAGGCCGTGTTCTGCTTTGTGCAACCCCCTGTCCTGTTCCCCAGCACCAGAATCTGTCTTCAGCATTGCATCCCTGAGTTGCACTGGAGGCAAACCTCCTCTGAGCCTGGTTGGCTCCAAGTCCCCTTTCCCTTTCCTCACAGCCCTCCTATTTCTCATCAGTGGCATCACTCACATTCACAAAGGCCTGACCAGCAAGGTAAGAACAGACTTTTTCACAGAAGTTGTAGGTGAATCATGATATACTTATGAGGGAGGTTAGTATTTGTATCTTCCTAGGCTTAAGAGTGATGTTAGTAGAACTATTAAAAATGAATTGTTGTGTATTTTTATTTTAAAAATATCAAGGTACTATACAAATACACCCATTTTCAGGACAGGTGGGACAAAGATCTGAAAAATATCTTCTACCTTGAATTCCAATATCCAGTTGACACTGGGGAAGCTGGATGTGGAGCATGTGGTGAATGATGATGATGATGCTTAAAGGATGGATTTGTAAAGAACATTGAGAAGGGCTAAATAACCGTTGTTGTTTGGCTCAGCAAAATAAATAACAATGTCAGAGGAGAAAAGGGATGGTTGAAGCGTATATAAGAAAGAAAAATGAGATAAAATTAAACAATAGAAAGAGTGCTACAGTGGCTGCAGAGGTTTCTTCCCGTTTCTGACAATCCTAAATTTTAAGAATTAAAGAGTCATAGAAGATTGCAAGCTCTGAAGATGAAATGGCAGAGCCCTAGACATATGGAGTACCTAGCATAAGCTTTCTCAAAACCTTCCTCTGTCACCTTATGTTGAGTTTGTGGACCAGTTACTAATAGAAATGTTTGGCCAGACTTCTGCCTTACAAAGAACTATGAAAAATGTAGGCAGTGACTTGGTTACCTGCAGTAGGGATGGTGATAATGGATGCAGGTGAGCCCTGAGGCAGAAAAACATATTTATCAGGCTATTTTTGAATACCCTTTTTGGAGTAGTCAACAGGAACTCTCATGTGAGAAGGTAGGGAGTAGGCCTTGGAGAGGGCTGTGTTTTACTTTCCTCCAAGCATGAACTGTCCTAGTAGCGTTTGTCTCAATTTCTCTCTGATTCCTTTATAGTACAGCTCTGTGCTGGACTTCAGAGGTTTGAAGGATTATCTGCACCAAAGCTGGCAGACCGGACCTCCCTCTGTAACTCCCTCATCTGCATGGATCCTGCGCCATGAATATCACCTGCAGTACTTTGTGTTAGCGCTGGCTCGCAGAATGGTATCGTTATTAGTCCTTTCACTTCTTTCACCCAAGGAATCTACTTCACCCTGGCCTGTCCAACTCATTGTGTCAGACTGGCAACTGGTCTTTGCATCCGTGTTCTTTCTTACATCTCACATGTCTGGTGACTCTTGCCCCACTAGCAAATAATTTATTTACAATTACTGGTGTCAGGATTTAGATCCACAATACTTTGGATAGCAGAATTATATTTCTGCCTGTCTTTGCACTAGAGTGAGAGCAGAGTTTGCAAGTGTGCTGCTGAAAATGGTGCCTGACTAAGACTATCGTGGGAAGCAGAAAGATCTGTGTATGGATGCTGACTATGCTGACTATTCTTGCAGTCTGCTTCAGTCTCTCACTTTCCAGTGAGATCTTTATTTCAGTTGACCCTCCTGTCCTTGTTGGTTGCCTTGTTGACAAATGATGTAATGCTTTTATCTGTTGTGGTTTTTTTTGTTTCCTGTACAGGCAGGCACTTGCCCAAATTATGCCCAGCACGCCTCACTCCATCACTGCGTTGCCATGGCATTGCTAAGCCGTCTGTTGCCGGGGAGTGAGCATCTGGCTCACGAGGTCCTACTGGATCTTGCCTTTAATCCAGAGTTTCTTCCGTAAGCTTTGCACATCCTCCTTGGGAAAATTGAAAAATCATGTGTTGGCACTGCAATTTTGTTACAACTTTTGGCCTCTAATAGGAGCTGTATTCAAATTTTAGTTACTCGTTAGCATATTCTGCAGTCCCAAAGCCTTCTATCAAGACCAGCAGTGTGGTTGCAGATTTCTCTTTGATGTACTAATGTTGAGAAATGTGACCAGTTACTTTTGATCTCTATTGCAAGAGTCTTGTGATTCCTAAGAGAACTGATTCTCACTGAGGCCCAGCATCAGCTGTCCCGAGAGTACTGAGTCTTGAAAATACATGGGAACTTGACATAGCCTGAAAAGCTAATTAAATATTCTTCAAACCCATATTATACAATTTCTTACACAAACTTTTGCCGATTTGACAACTGTGTGTGATGACTTCCACCTTGCACCAGAAGAAATCATGAGCATCTCAAATGTGAAGCCTCCCATGTCTGGCCAAGAAAATGGTAGCAATTTCTCTTGTTCTCATCACAGACTCTTTGAAATTTACCATAGCTCTTCCCTGTAGGAGGTTAGGCCAAGGTACTGCAAGGAGATACTATAGTTTTCCAGAAAGAAGGAAAGCTTATGAGTGGGTTGGTTTATGTGGTGAGTTGTTTTTTTTTGTGGTGGTGATTGTGGTTTTGTTTTGTTTTTTCTGGGTTTTTTGGTGGAGTTTGGTTTGTTAGGTTTTTTTGGTGATAATTTGATCAGTGTCTGGTCTGAGATGATGGCACATGGATTTGACAAACACACTCACTACCAGTCTGTATGGTTCCCCTGACCTTACCACTGCCAGCTGCAAAGCTGCTATTTCAAGAATTTGCTTATTGATTCATGTAGGCCTTATGTGATAGGCAGTATTTAATCTCAGCACCCTGGCAGCTGTGTTAGTAAGTAGACTGCCTCTCTGAACAAGGGGTTGCAGCCTGCGCACCAGACTCCTGACGTTGTGTGGTGATTTTTCATGGCAAGGCCTTAGCGTTCCCGACTCCAAATGTAGTTCTGTGAATTGCCTGGGAATACCAAGAGAGCTCATGCTTTACAGGCAGCACTCAGTATTATTACAGATGGATGCTGAAAGAGTTGAGTGCTGATCCAGGAAGATTGTAGAGATGTATTTCTGTGGTGGTTTAATTTTTTTGGCATTTTGTGAGGTTTAAGATTTTTTTAATTATTATTTTTGTTTCTTAAGCTGATGTTTGTCTCTATCTTACAGTGAAGGGAAAGCTGGAGGGCCAGAAGCAGCTGACTTCTCTGATATCCTGCATCTGGGTACCAGTGCCAAACTGGCACAGCCTGGCTCTGCGGCAGCGTTTTCTTCAAAGGCTACTCGTGGTGCTCTGCTGAGAGAGTCGTACCAGAATCTGCCTTTCATCCACTCCTGCTACCTTTCTCATTTTGTCCACTTGCAGCCTACCCTTGCACGTTCCCAAGCATCCTACCAGGGACAGACTTACCTCATCCAGTCAATGCTCCTTCCTGAGGCCAAAGGGCCCATCCTGCCTTCAGACTGGCCGTTCTTTCCACTTATCAGCCTCTACAACAAAGTGACTAATGCAGAGACACATGGGGCTGTACTGAACTCTCTCCCACTTGATCTCGTCAACACTGTGACTTGGAACCTGCAGTGGGTCTTGTTGCTGGAAACCTGGCGTGCTAAAACCCTTCGGAGTATCCCTACTGCTGCCAAACTTGCACGGCTTATGTGTGTCTTCCTCACAGGCGGTGACCTCTTTCTTGAAGCACCGATCCACCGCTACACAGCTGCCCTTCTCTCTGTGTATTGCCAACCCAAGGCATTGGAGTCTCTGAACTTGGATGCTCCTCTCCCTGGTTTGGCATCCTTTCACGATCTCTATATAAATCTTCTGGAGCAGTTTGAAGGTGTCTCCTTTGGAGATCCACTCTTTGGAGTCTTTGTTCTTCTACCTCTACAGAAGCGTTTCAGCGTTCATCTGCGTCTCTCTGTTTTCGGGGAGCACACAAGTATCCTGCGGGCACTGGGAGTGCCACTCCAGCAGGTAATCCTTAGTTGCCTGTCACTGCATGTTTCTGGGTTACTGGGCTCTTGCCTGTGTTTCTCCAACCTTGATTTGGGCGTTCTCCCAGCATTTCCCTTTCTTCCTCATCCCTCCTTGTCCAGTACTGTAATCATACTTTCTTTGCCTAGAAGCTTTTCATTCTCCCTGAAGAAAGTCCAATGCACAGAATGTAAAATAGAATAGGAATGGAGAGCAATGTCCTTTTGATTTAAGGCTGTGACAGCAGTGTACGCATTTTTGTTGTTATTGTTATTTTTAAAGAGAAAAAAAAAAGCTTCATTGATTGTAAGGCTGAAGAGCAGAGTCCAGCCCCCATAGGTGCAGGCCCTTGTCACA